TTTCCACTGTTCCGTGGCAACTAATTTGCTGCTATACAGTATGTAAAACTTAAATCACTTAACAACTACAGGGATTTGCTTAACAACTGTTGCAAAAAATGTCATAAAATGGGGGGAAATTTAGTTCACAACTGCCTTGCTTAGCAGTGGAAATTTTGGGCTTAATTGTGATGGTAAATCAAGGAACCTATATCCATAGCATTTTTAGGACTTAAATTGTAGGCCTAATTTGCTGTGTGACAAATATTTTCCTTGAGAAGTCTTGTATATGCATATACAAATACATATTCAAATATAAACTGAGAAATAAAAAATAGAAATAAAATTGCAAGAAAAAAGGGAGGAAAAAAGAAAGGACGTAATTTAAGAGAAAAGAAATAAAGAACTTACTTCCAACCTTCTTCACAAGAAGTACAAACAAATTTAGTTACTTTTTTTGTGAATTTTTAAAAAAAATTTCTAAACAAACACAAACAAAACCATACATAAAACCATAAACCATCTTTCAATTACATACAGTGTGTCGACTGGTTGCAATTCTTTTGTGCTAGGTGTCCATAATCCTCCTTCACAAGTCACATAAATTCTCATACTTTCCATTTTATGTGTGTGTGTGTGTGTGTGTGTGTGTGTGTGTGTGTATGTATGTATGTATATATATATATATGTATGTATGTATGTATGTATGTATGTATGTATGATTATCATCATCATTATGGTTCTTATCATTATGGTTCTTTCATTTAACAATAACTATTTGTTCCACCACTTCATATAAGATATTCAACATTTTAAACCAATGTGTAATGTAACTTCCATTGCCACTTCATCTAATAAAAAATACATTCTTATATCATTTTCTCTTAAATTCTATTATTTTTATATTGTAAAGTTATCTATAAAATGTATCATTTCCACACTTTTTTTCCCTAACCATTGATAAAATAAATCCCATATCTTATATTGTTTTTCTTCTTGTTCTCTAATTTCAAATGTCAATTTACTCATTTCAGCACATTCCACTATTTTCTTAATAAGTTCCTCCTGTGTTGGTATTTTCTCATTTTTCCAATTCCTTCCAAATACAATTCTAGCTGCTGTTAGTACATTCACAATCAAAAATATCAGTTCTCTACTGTATATCTCTGGTACAATACCCAATAAAAATATTTCTGGTTTATAATCAATATGACTTTTTGTCATTTTTTCCAACTATGTGTGGATTGTAGTCCAATATTTTTTCGCCTCTGCGCACGTCCACCACATATGGTAAAATGAGCCAGGTATCTGATGACATTTCCAACATTTTTCGGATTTATTCTTAAACATTCTTGCTATTCTCGTTGGGGGAAGATGCCACCTGTAAAACATCTTATACAAATTTTCTTTATATGCAGTTGACATTGTCATTTTATAATTTCGAGACCATAGTTTTTGCCATCTCTCTAAGTCAATCCCATATCCAAAATTTTTCCCCCATGCAATCATTGTTTCTTTCACTTGTTCTTCTAATTTAACCTCTAATAAATATCCGTATAATTTCTTAATCACCTTTTCATCAGTACCTGTTAAAATTTTATCTAAAGCAGTCAATTTATTATAAAAAACCCTTCTGTTTTGAGATCTTTATCATATCTAGAATGTATTTGCGCATATGAAAACCAATTCATCCTTGTACCTCATTGCTCCAGTTCTTGCATAGATTTAAGTTCACCCTTTTCATTCATAATTTCACCATATCTAACTGTTTGCTCCATTTTATATATCACAGGATATGAAAACGCTTCTATAGTTGAAATCCAGACTGGAATTTTCAAATTCAGTTACTTTTCATCCCCCTTGAGATTACATTTATTCTTCATCCTATATTCTATCTCTTATTCATAAACAAATCCATAAAATATGTTTTCATTCCTGGTATCAGCAGAAAGTGCACAAAGGGTTAGTTGAAATAACAGTGTGCCTTGTTTTAACCTATCCCTCTTTAATTACTTTATCAGTAACAAACATAATACTCCCTTCCTCCTCCTCCTTTCCCCACAACTGCTCTGTGAGGTGGGTTGGGCTGCAAGAGAGTGAGTGGCCCAAAGTCATCCAACCGGCCTTCATGCTCACGGTCTCCTGGTTTTTAGGCCAATACCTTAACTACTACACCAAACTGGCTGTTTATATTCCTTCCCTTTACTTGAAACAAACTTAACTTTAATTCAAATATTATCATAGGATTTCATTTGTCTTCATTCTGCCTTTGTTCCGTTGAACAGAGCTCTTCAAGGCTTTAATAACCTCTTTTGTAAATCCAATAAGAGAAAAAGAAATATTCAGGTCACTCTCTTTGGGTTTTCATTTGTATTTCTTTTTTAAATTGTAAAACCTCAGCCGGTTTCTTTTGTAGATCAGTGACCTTATTTAAGTTGTTCTCTTGGCCCATCACTGGTAAATCTACTTTCAATACCATCACTATTTTGTCAGCTAAAATTTGTCCTACACCTGTTATTTCTCCAATAACAACTTCTGGATATAATTTATCCACAGAAGTAGACATCATTACTGAATTTGTTGCTATTGTGGTTATTTCCTGATTCCCATTTTCAAAAGTCTCCTTCAGCATTTTTGTTGTTATAACATTTTGCAACATATTACAGACTTGTAAATCTTTGCTCTCCCTAAAAACTTTAGTCCCCTCTAGTGTCCAGTTTTTGAAATCATGAAATTGCTTATATTGTTATATCTTGTAAAAATCAAAACAGAATCTGTTTATCCTTAGAATTAATTCCAAAATACTATTACAAAAATTATAATAGTCCAATTTTATTTGGACTCCATGTCCAAATAAACTCCATGTATAACTTTCTATGATCAAATTTTATTTAGCTTTTTGATGCTTATTTATGATTCTCTTCATTCTTAACTTTATGGTTATTTTTTTTTCAGACTGGATTGAAGGCTGATCCACTCAATATTTTCAAGCTTGTCATTCCAAATGTCTTTAATAGCTTAGAAGTAGTTAATGAGCCAAAAGTGATTAGAACAGGGTGCTTTTCCCCCCAAACTTAATCTTTAAAAAATTTCCATGGTAATGAACTAATCTTGTCTTCTGGTGCTCAAATCCACAGAAAACTACAGTCCTATGGTCTCTTGCAAGGAGCAGCTATCTGTAGCATATGTGGGCGATCTCTCATCTTCTCATCCAGAGAGATTCCAAGGAACTGGCCTACTTACCAGTTTCTTGGTCTTAGCTACAGTTATTGACTTTGGTTTTGTTAAGCCTTTTTAGTTTGACATACTTCCCCCCAAAGCCCTGTTTCATAAATCTTTAAACTGTTTATTAATATTTTCAGACATACCTGCTAAATCTTCTTTTGCCGAACTAAAACTTATGGCAAGATAGGCTGCAAACAAATTTAATAATAAATACATACAATAAAAGATAATTTCCATCTTAATTTCAGGTCCTATTTAAATTCTTCAAGTAAATGCTTGGCAGTATTAAAATCCTCTTTAGAGTGATAACTCTAAAGGTTATAAATCACACCCTAGCCTCATCTTTTTTTTTTCTCCACTGGAAAAAGAGAGTTGTTTATTTATTTTTGGCTCTTTTGTGCATATTTTGATTCATTTAGTTTGTTGTGAAGTATGTTTCTTGGATATTTTGCATTTATTAATTGCTTTAAAAAGTAACTCAGTGTAAACAGTTCATAATAGCTTCATAGGCAGGTTGAAGGACAAGCAAGGTATTCAGCACATCATCTTCAAACTAAGCCATGACCTATTTGCAAAATATTACACTTGACACAAGGGAAAGCCTGTAGCCCAGAGAAGCAAGAAAATCAGAAGTGGGTGCTAACTACCAGCTTGGCTGGCTTCAGAAAAAGGATTGGACCAATACATGCAAGTCAAGGGAATCAGTTGCTATTAAATTTGATGTCGATGTTACCTCCTATGAAGGCTACCTGTTGAGTAACTAGTGGGCCTCCTTGTGCAGTTGGTTGAATTAGAACAGACTTCTGGACTAGATCAGCCAAAGATCTTACCTATCCAGTTACTGCATATGTTCTTAAGAAAGCTTAAGAACAGCATGGCTGAACCAGATTCTGGTCTGTTATAGCAATAGCAAAAACATTTAGATTTATATACCACTTCATAGCGCTTTACAGCCCTCTCTAAGCGGTTTACAGAGTCAGCATATTGACCCCAACAATGTCGGTCCTCCTTTTACCAAGAATGGAAGGCTGAGTCAACCTTAAGCCAGTAAGGATCAAACTGCTGGCAGTCAGCAGAATTAGCCTGCAATACTGCATTCTAACCACTGCGCCATCATGGCTCATTGGCAGAACACCATGGGATGATAAGGCCAGGAACTGAAAAAACAACAGAGGGAGGTATCAAGTAGAATATTGAGTGTTCTATCATGAGCTAATGCTGTTCAACATTATCATAAATAACTGAGAAGAAGGGGTAGAAGTTTGTCTACAAACTTAATGAACATCTGTGGGAGCTGTGGGAGTAAGCCACCTTCAAAGACAGTCTCAATGTTTGAAAGAACTTTATAGGCTTAAACATTGAATCTTACCCCAGAACTTACAGTTCAGTTCAGTGGTGGGATTCAAATTTTTTTACTACCGGTTCTGTGGGCGTGGCTTGATGGGCATTATGTGGCTTGGTGGGCGCTGTGTGGCTTGGTGGGCATGGCTTGGTGAGCATGGCAGGGGAAGGATACTGCAAAATCTCCATTCCCTCCCCACTCCTAGGGGAAGGTAACATAAAAATCCCATTCCCTCCCCATCCCACTAACCTGCTTTCCAGCTCCATTCTCCTGTGCAGGGCCACAAAAGAAGACTCAGACGATCAACTGGGACTCGGAAGGCAGAGAATAGATGGGGGCAGGGACAGTCAGAGGTGATATTTGCTGGTTCTCCAAACTACTCAAAATTTCCGCTACCGGTTCTCCAGAACAGGTTAGAACCTGCTGAATGCCACCTCTGGTCCAGTTGCAAGAAATGGAGGATTCTTGCACAGGTAGGAAAAGTGTAAGTGGTGCCTGGTTCAGTAATACTTGTGAGCATTTATGAAAAGAATCTGTGCATCCTAGGAAGCCAAAGATTATATATGACCCAGCTGTGTACTGTGTACTGTAGCTGCCAAAAAGCTCATGTAGTCTTGGACTGTATCAACAGAGGTAATATATTGAGATCATACGAAATGAGTCTGATTCATGCTGCATTGGTCAGACCACTTCTGGAATACAGTGTCCAATTCTGATCACTACAGCAGGGGTCTCCAACCTTGGCAACTTTAAGCCTGGAGGACTTCAACTCCCA